TGGTGCCGAAGCTGCAGACAGCATAGAGGGTTCAAATACTGCAGAAGATGAAGACTACCAAGCAAGTGGGGACAATGGTAGCATTAATTAGACTATGTTCATCAACATTATCAGGCTCATTTTTTTCTCATGGTTGATTATTGATTATGACCAATGTGGGAATGGAGTTGTAAAATAAAATTGCGAAATCTTAAGATCATATCTGCCCTTTTCAGCAGTTCTTGTGCATTATAAGCATAGGGAAGGTGTCCATTGGTGATCAAATTATATAATAAATAAGCATTTCATTAGAGTGTTCTCATATGAAGGATATATGTCGCAAATTTAAAACAGCAGATTTGAGTTTTGTTTTGGTGGTATACACTGTTAAAAGCAGCCTTATTGGTCTCTTTTTACAACAAGCTACCGATTTCACATGTTCTTTTACTTTGCTTAATTTTGAAGCGTGATCAAATTAATCTACAAGCTCCTTTACGTTGGGAATACTTTTTCCCTACCATTTATTGAGCAAATTCTCCACGTGTTCTTTGTAAACTCAATCTCCTGTTTTTTCTTCATTGTACATCGTCTTACTGCATCCAACTAGCGTTCGTTTCCGCATACGCTGTTCCATCCATTGTGAATCTTGTACTTCTATAATTTTACGCTTCTGAGTTCATAGCATTTTTAAAAGCCCAAAAGGCTGGGAAGCATTGAGAAGGGGAGAAGCGAGCACTCTCTCCCCCTTTTCACGCTTTTCTACCTTCAATTTATGTGAAATTCGTCCAAAATACGCATTGGGTTCCGAGGAATACTGTACCGTTCTCCAGCATCTTTGCTAGAAATTGGTTATGTACTTCCTATTCAATTAGGGAAGAGGTAGAAAGGGAAGATAAGATTAACGCTGTCAGACAGAAACATGGCGCAATACTGACATTGACGTACCTTGCACTTACAGTTGCAGAAGCAGAAGCGCTCAATGGTGATTTAGTCAGTGGAGCGGAATAAGTGTGATCTTAGACGCTTTCGAAATCTCGTCAATGTTCTCACTCCAGGCTTTTGAAGAAATTTGGGCATTATCTAGTTTTCCTTCTTTCAAAGTGGTAAAATTAAAGTTGTTTACAGATGGAAAAACTGTGGCAAACACTTCTTCAACGATTGTTATATATCAAATCCACTGAGATTTTGAGTCTCAGAAGTTCAATACGGTGTTCCTTATGAGGGGAAGGATTACATACACAAAGCAACTCATAAAGCACTATATACGCGTAAATGCAGCTTAATGCTGACTTAAAATTTATCTCCCGTATGCGAAGGATACCTTTGGAAGAAGTTATGGAAAACCAATGCAAAAGGATCTCTAAGTAATTAATTTCCGTTTTTAATTTTTAAAAGGATTTCTAAATAATTAATAATTAATAACTCCGCTTATGTTGTAGCTGTTATAGGACAAGTATTGACCGCAAAGATATTTTCATTAGGAAAAAATTTCTAGAATTTCTTCCACAGCAAAACTCCGGAAATAAGATAAAACTTTGAAATTAACGCTTAAGACCACCTGTCAGCGAGTGACAAACTGTGGATAGCCATTTCACTAAGTACTATCCCCTTAAAAATGCCCTTATTCACTTAACACAGTGTGTGAGTACTCTTGTAGATATAAGGCTAAGTTCGCATGAAATCGCACCAGGTTGCAAGACAAGCGCATATAATATGTAAATCTGATGTACTACTACCGTGCTAGTATTCCTGATTGTTTATTCCTTTCGCACGAACGAGAGGTAATGTTCGAGAAAAGCGTCTAACAATCATCCGTGGTTGTAGGAGTTTGTGTGGAGGTTACAGTGGTGGACGTGATGGGCAAATTATTGAATGTGGGGAAACTTGGTCCGACGTAGTGCTTACTGAGTGATTTGAGGATGGCTTTGTGGGCGATGATGTAATTGCTAGCGTTGACGTTGGTTCTGTCGCAGTACTGTTTACTAGCATTGAAGTTGCCTCAGTGGATGCTGAGGTGCTGCTTGCTGGTGTTGTTGTTGGCTGTGTTGATGCTTAAGTACTGCTTGCTAGCGTCGATGTTGGTTCAGCCATAGTGCTGCTTGCTAGCCTTGTTGTTCGTTCGGTCGATGCAGAAATACTGCTTGTTAACGTCGAAGTTGGCGCTTCTTGCTAGCATCGAAATTGGCTCAGTCACCGTGCTGCTTGCTAGCGTTGATGTTGCCTCAGGCGATGCTAAAGTGCTGCTTGCTAGCGTTGGTGTTGCCTCAGTCGATGCTAAAGTACTGCTTGCTAGCGTTGATATTGGCGCTGTCTATGCTGAAGTTCTGCTTGCTAGCGTTGTTGTTGGGTCATTCGATGCTGAAGTACTGTTTGCTAGCGTTGACGTTGGCTCAGCCACAGTGCTGCTTGCTAGCGTTCTTGTTCGTTCGGTCGATGCAGAAATACTGCTTGCTAGCGTCGAAGTTGGCTCAGTCACAGTGCTGCTTGCTAGCTTTGTTGTTGGCTCTGTCCGCGCTGAAGTACTGCTTGCTAGCGTTATTCTTAGCTCTGTCGGTGCTGAAGTACTTCTTGCTAAGGTGTTGGCTCTGTCGATGCGGAAGTACTGGTTGCTAGCGTTGTTGTTAGCTTTGTCGATGTTGGAGCACTGCTTGCTAGCGTTGTTGTGGGCTCTGTCGGTACTGAAGTCGTGGTTGATAGAGTTGCTGTAGCTCTGTCAATGCAGAAGTACTCCT